AACTGCTTCTGTTTCACACAAATGCTGGCACAGACGTGCATGTTCGGCTAGAGTCGCTTTGAACTCGTGCATCTTCGGAAGCGGAGCTGAGCGGAAAGTTACAAAAAATGTTGTGCGCACCGCCACGCGAAACGACGTCGCGCACACTCAAAGCGAACTTGCGGACGCGTCGAGTATAAATCAGCCTTAAATCAGCCTTGAGAGTGTGTGTGTTAGATACAGTGAAGACAGCGCGTTAGTTTAGAACTCTTCTAATTTTTTTTTTAATTGTAGAGAGTGTGTTAATTTGTGCAATGATAACCTACCAGCAATGTAAATGATTTTTTAAATATATTAGAATGAGTACATTACAATATAAATTTATTACAACAAGTAAATTATTATTTATGGGCTTAAAAACAAGATGCAAACAATCAGAATATTGTACCTGGTGGGTAGTACACAATGTAAACATGAAACATATGCCATTACCTATATTGTACTGTGGTACAGTTATGGAGGCCCTTCATAATGCAGAGGTCAGCTGCCTGCTCTGCCAATAGTTAGAAATGGCACTATAGTATGCAGTGTTTAATAAACAGCTGTTTTTCTAAATTCTGCTGAGGTGAAATTCAGTGCAGTCATGTATCGTGATACGTATCGTATCGTGACTTTGCTGGTGATACACAGCCCTACTATGGAGAGTCCCCACAAGGATAGCAAACCAGACATGTGTGTGTGTGTGTGTGTCTCACCTGTCCGCTCTGCAGTGAACAGTCCACACAGCCCACCTGGATGTTCCCGTGTTTGGCTCCTGGGATGATCTGGATCCTTTCAAAGTCACTCCCCAGAATGACGATGTCACAGCCAGAGGCGTAGGCCTGGATCAGCAGCACAAATATATAGTATATGATACATAAATATATAGTATTTGATGTGTGCATGATGCTGACAGACATGAAGAGTCTGAATCGTCTTTGACATTATTTCTGAACATATCGGACAATATTTGCCTTCATATTTCATGCATTTTTTCTGTAGATATATAACAAGTGAATTTGTTGAACTTCATGTGTGCCGCACTTGGAACAGAGCTTTCTTTAACCAGATGGTTCATAAAGAGAATGTGACTTAAATCATCAGTTTTTAATCTGACTAGTTAAACATAAAAAAAAATCCGGCTCAGGTTTACCGTGAAGGGCTGGTCGTTGACGCTGCCCACAGAGAAGCAGTTTTCTCCAGGGTTGACGGCTCCTGTGAGCACCTGGTGCAGGTTCATGCTTCTTGGCACACTTGAGTTTCAGCACGAACCCCTGCAAACAGACGGAGAATCAGCAGAAAGACAGCAAACACACACCGGTCCAGTCTGCCTCATTACACCTGCTCTGCTGAAGCTTCATGTGGCAGTTACTAGAATGCAAAACCACGGATATATTCCCAAACCACAACCATTATGATCACGATATAATCTCTAATGTGGAGCAGGGAGCACAGGACAATATATACTTTCATTATAAGTTCATTTTAAGTGTGTGTGTGTGTGTGTGTGTGTGTGCATGCGA